GTGTTAAATGCTAAAAAAACTAAATGCCTTCTTTTTGCCCTTCCCAACGTAAGAAGGCAAAGTTTTAGCTTAAAATTGAATAGCGTAACCATCACAGTAGATTCAAAGCTCCAATGGAGTCCCCATCTATCATCTCTTGCGAATAGGTTAAGCTCCGCTGTTTTTGCAATTAGGAAGGTTAGGCAGCTATCGCAGACATCGACACTGCCAGACCTGTTTACTACAGTTATTTTCACAGCATCTTGTCGTACGGCATTTTGTTGTGGGGTAGTGCATCTGATATAAATTCAATATTTATTATTCAAAAAAGAGCTGTCCGAGCAATTTATAACATCGGAGCCCGGAATACACTCAGAGATCTTTTTAAGGAGATTAATATACTCACTGTTGCGTCTCAATATATTTATTGTAATATTTTGTATGTTAAACAGAATATTAATAATTATCAAAAGAATAGTGACAGACATAAACTAAATACTAGAAATAAGGACAAACTAACTACGCCATTATTTCGCCTACAAAAAGTAAACAGATCGTTCATGGGGCAAAGTGTGCGCATGTATAATAAAATCCCACAGTCGATGTTAGTCTGCCACTTGATGAATTTAAACGAAAAATTAGAAGTACACTTATGGCTAAAGCCTATTATACTATTGCCGAATATCTTGACGACGCCAATGTGTGGGGTTAATACTGTTGATACTCACGTAGGCTAAAACAAGACTATTGTACCTGTACTATTATATTGTAAACTGATTTTTTAAAAAAGAGTAACTGTTGAGTTTCTTGCCGGTTTCTTCTCAACAGAAACTGCTTTCCGAACCGGTGGTAACTTATGAACGTGTTAATTTCTTGTAAAATTTTGACGTTTCATAAGAACGCGCAAGTGTCTATGTGAATAAAGATATTTTACTATTATTATTATTATTATTAATAAAAAACATATTTAATTTGAAATACAGTATTTGAATCATAAAAAAAATTTATTATTAAAAGGATAACGCGTGGCGCGCAAATCTTACATCATGTGGCTGAATAATCTTATAACCAGGTCTTATTAAAAAGTACAGGTATAGAGAATGGCTAGAATCGAAGCGTTATACCGCCTAATGATTACGTGATGATTTGTACAGCTCCTACATTCAAAGTTACTTAAGGAATTTCGTTTCAATAAATTTACTCGCCGATGGACTACGTTGTGTATGAGGTCTAAAACTTTTATGGACTTTTCTTTACACTGGAGATGAGTACATTCTATTTCCTATATTACCTTTTAACCAATTTAATATTTCGATATCGGTTAGAGGTTCAGTATTAAAGTTTTAATCAATTTTTGAGTATTAAATATTGTAAAAAAAATTATTGTAATACGTAAAAGAAAACGAAGTAACCTCGATATTGAAATGATTTAATTGAAATCAGTAAAAAATGTGGGCTAAGCATAACGACTGATATTTAATAAAAAATTCAATAAATTAATAAGCCAATATCCCTCGGCCGCAGCCGCAGGTGCCCCACCCATTATTGTAACCGATGTCAGCAGTGGCCCATGGGGCGACTGCGCCATGGAGGCGAGCCAAGCCCACGCCAGGGGCGGCGCCCTCCTCGCTGACGATGCGCACGTCGCCGTAGCCGCAGCCGTAGGTAACGGCCCCGGCGCCTGCGGACGGCACCGCGCCCTCCAAGTACGCTGTGCCCAGGAAGGGCACCTGGCCCACTACGGCCAGGGCACCGGAATACTCGTTCTCCGACAACACCGACACCGCGCTAGGCGGTACAGGCGAGGCGCTCTTCACCGCGAAGCCTCCCACCGTCGGAGGCAGGCAACCACCCCGGACTCGAAGCCAGCACCACAGCCACTTAACCATGACGACGGCGGCGCATATTCGTTGTAAGCCGAGCCACACCCCGCGTGACGCCACGTTGTATGAATTGCGGAGGAGGCATTCACCGTTCGCATTCTGTAACAGAAGAAATGGTACAATCGTTTATTTCAAATGTTGTATCTCTTATACTGAAAATAGCTTTCATGTTAAGTAGGTACCTGAACCAAAATGGCGACAGCGCTGCCCAAAAAGAAAACGGGTACAGCCATTTTCGAATGTTCTTCCAATTCACTTATTGTTGACCGAAGTATTTTATTCTCCTTTTATACACAGGAGTCGAAAGAATTGCAACACTTCCTTGTATTAACACTTAAGCGGGCGATACCAATGTTGCATCAAAATAAACTTGTAAATTTTCGCATGCAGCCTGCACACGTGATGATAGCGAATTAGACACATGATGAGTGGAGTATAAAAGCAATACACAAACTAGCATTAGTATTGTAAATCATTTGGGTGAAAAACTAACATGAGTACCTTCGCATTCATTTCTATATTGGTGTGTTTTCAAGCATGCTTAATGCAGGTAAAATACATGGCATTTCGTTACTATTGTATTTAGAATTAACCTATTTTGTGATTAATAATATCAAACAATTTTATCAACAGAGTGTGTTCGGCCAGTGTAACGCCGGTTGGTCGCTAAGTTCTGCGGCCAATAATGCTGGGTGTGGACACGGGTTGGGGTACAACCTGGGGAGCTCCGGTTATAGTTGGAACGGTGCCGAAGTGGCTGGGGCATATGGAGGCACTGGTACGGGTGACCTGGACGTGGCCGGCGAGCTGCCGGTGGTCGGTACTACTCTGGTAACCGGACAAGTTCCCATTTTGGGAGCTGTTCAGTTCGCGGGAGAGGTCCCAGCGGGTGGAGTGGTTTCGATCTTCGGAAAATGTGGTTGCGATTGTAATGGTGGTCCGTTGTTACTTTAGAAACATTTTCATCCATTTATTGAATGAACTTTTTGCTGAAATTTGACAATAAATCGCAGTTTTACTATTCATGACTCTTAATTATAAAGATAGCACTTGTATAAACAATTTTTTAAGGAAGCTTTATGGTTGGAGCATTTTTAATATGCTTTGAGGGACTAATAAACACCTCCACTTCTATACTGGTGGTACGAAATTGCTTCTATCAGTCAGCTCCAGTTGGAAATTTTCGTGAATAGCAATGCATTTTGCAATTCAGAATTAACTATGTACTTTTTTCCTTTTTTCACATGAAGTACATTCGACTTTTGGAATCAAAACTTGACTACTATTATACCCTGAAAATGAAACAAAACGAAAACTATTATACCCTGAAAACAAAACAAAACACGTCAAAAAAAGACGATGACATTTAAAAATCGAATAACATCGGTTTCGCGTAAGTCACCGTGAACTTATGAAAAAGATTGATGAAAGCCCTGTATCTCATCACCGACAAAACCCGAAGTTTTAATCTCATTTTAGTTTTGGTTAGCCGAGAAAACATATTCGTAAAACTAATGATAAAACTACAAGATTTAGCGTGAATCTCTATAAAGTAAAAGTAAAGTATCAGCCTATACATGTCGCACCGCTGGGCAAAGGTCTCCTGTATACAGAGGGTATTAGGGCATAGTCCACCACGCGGCCCCACTACGGATTGGCGGACTTCACATATCTTCGAAATATTTTTTTTGTTATTATTTCGAAAATATGCAGGTTTGCTCATGTTCCCGATGTTTTCCTTCAACGCAGAAACACGTGATAATTCAATTAATGTTGCCGGCACCGGGGTTCGAACTCAGGTTGCTCGAGTATATTGAATTAAAGGCGAGCGCCCGGACACTGAGCTATCACGGCTCATGAATCTCTATGCTAAAAAAATTTTCTAGCTCTCTGCCAGTCGCCATTGCCTATTATGTCTCTGTGCTGGAAAGGGCTTAGAAATGTGCCATGCTCAATTTAGATAGAGCACAATACAATAGTTTTAAAAATTAAGAAAGCATCCATTGAAATTTCGAAGATCTACCTGGAAAAACAATTATAAATTACATTTTTTTTAATGTGAAAAGTTGCCAAACGAGCTGGCGGTTCACCTGATATTAAGTGAATACCGCCGCCCATGGACTTCTGCTACACCCGAGGGTTTGCGGATGCGTTGACAACCTTTTTGGAAATTGGGCTCCGGATACCTCACTCACCAGACGAAACGCGAAAGTATTTGTCATACTTCCACTTTACGCCGGTCTTCTGTGAGGTCGTGGTACTTACCCGGACGAGCCTGCCCATTCGTGCAACAGCCGCGGCTGCTGCGTGGCTCTACCACCGATATATAATGTTCAGGCTTTATGCTAGGTTCTACCACCAATACATGTATAAAACGTATAAAAATTACACTACTTTTCTCGCGATCCTTCTAATACAATACCCATCAAGTTCCCAACGCATTACATAATTTTTTTGTGCGAAGAATATCTTATCGTGTTTTGTATAAATATTTGGGTTTGACCATTTTCAAGTGGAAGAAATGGTTAAAAGGCGTTATGAAGGATAACTTGAATTAACTGCCTCAATATGACATTGTTACTTCTCGGTCGTTTACAAATCAACAACATGGATAATAAAATTTGTACGGGAAGTCTGAAAGTTATTAAAAACCGGTTAAGTGCGAGTCGGACTTTCGTCGACGATTCGAGCACCTTTTTTATTAAATGCGGTCAAATAGATGGAGCTGGTATTTCGGTGCCTCAGCACAAAGGTGAGAACAATATTCCATATGCGGCCGAAACTGTGCTTTATAACGCTGCAAACGATGTGCCGGTAGGAAATACTGACTAGCTCGATTTAGGACACCGAGTTTAACCGAACTTACGTTCTTAAACTTTTTTGGATATTTCATTACATAGCACATGTTTATATTCTAGTTCCTAAATTACCTTTTAACCATTGCAACATTTAGAAATCGGTTAGAGGTGAAATTTAATAAAACTTTTAGTGTTGAAAAAAATTGATGGTCATAAAAATATTTAAAAAAAAAACGTAAAAGAAAACGAAGTAACCTTGATATTGAAATGATTTAATTGAAATCAGTAAAATGTGGGCTAAGCATAACGACTGATATTTAATAAAAATTTCAATAAATTAATAAGCCAATATCCCTCGGCCGCAGCCGCAGGTGCCCCACCCATTATTGTAACCGATGTCAGCAGTGGCCCATGGGGCGCTCGCGACGGCGCCAGGGAGGCGAGCCAAGCCCACGCCAGGAGCAGTGCTTTCCTCGCTGACGATGCGCACGTCGCCGTAGCCGCAGCCGTAGGTAACGGCCCCGTTGCCTGCGGATGGCACCGCGCCCTCCAAGTACGCTGTGCCCAGGAAGGGCACTTGGCCCACTACAGCCAGAGCGCCTGTGTACTCGTTCTCCGACAGCACTGATACCCCGCTAGGCGGTACAAGCGAGGCGCTCCTGACCGCGAAGCCCCCACCGTCAGAGGCAGGCACCACCCCGGACTCGAAGCCCGCACCGCAAGTGCCACCCAGCCACGGCGTCGGCAGCGGGTACTCTATGTACCCCTGGCCACACCCGCACGGTGCAGAGTTGTATGAATTGCGGAGGAGGCATTCACCGTTCGTAATCTGTAACATGAGAAATGGTAACAAAGTTTATTTTTAATGATTTATTTCTTAACGTCGCTCTGAAAATAATTCTTTTATATTAAGTACCTGAACCAAAATGGCGATAGCGCAGCACAAAGACAAAACGGTGACAGACATTTTCGAATAGTTCTACCGATTGAGTTATTGTTGAATGACAGTAGCATTTGCTCCTTATATATGCAGGTATCGAAACAATTTCAACACTTAAGCGGCGTAATAACAATTCGGCGGCGATACCAACGTTGCATCAAAATAAACTTGTAAATTTTCGCATGCAGCCTGCACACGTGATGATAGCGAATTAGACACATGATGAGTGGAGTATAAAAGCAATACACAAACTAGCATTAGTATTGTAAATCATTTGGGTGAAAAACTAACATGAGTACCTTCGCATTCATTTCTATATTGGTGTGTTTTCAAGCATGCTTAATGCAGGTAAAATACATGGCATTTCGTTACTATTGTATTTAGAATTAACCTATTTTGTGATTAATAATATCAAACAATTTTATCAACAGAGTGTGTTCGGCCAGTGTAACGCCGGTTGGTCGCTAAGTTCTGCGGCCAATAATGCTGGGTGTGGACACGGGTTGGGGTACAACCTGGGGAGCTCCGGTTATGGTTGGAACGGTGCCGAAGTGGCTGGGGCATATGGAGGCACTGGTACGGGTGACCTGGACGTGGCCGGCGAGCTGCCGGTGGTCGGTACTACTCTGGTAGCCGGACAAGTTCCCATTTTGGGAGCTGTTCAGTTCGCGGGAGAGGTCCCAGCGGGTGGAGTGGTTTCGATCTTCGGAAAATGTGGTTGCGATTGTAATGGTGGTCCGTTGTTACTTTAGAAACATTGCCTTGAAAATGCCTTCATCCGATGTTCATAAGTGACCTCCCTCTGCTCTCTTATTTGTCTCATTAGCAAATATTCTTTTCACAATGGTTGTCTAGAAGAAATCGCTTTCTGAGCGATAAAACCGCCTATTGCACTTCCTTTTATATTCATTTGTAATTTGCTTTTTATATATTTTTATTTTTTGTGTACAATAAAGTATAAATAATTAAATAAATAAATAAACATTTACAGCCATTTATTAAATGAGCTTTTTATGAAATTTGTCAATAAATCGCAATTTTACTATTTATGACTTTTAATTTTAAAGATAGCATCAGATTTTTTAATGAAGCTTTGGGGTTGGTGCATTTTTTAATATTCAGTAGATACGTGGAGGGAGTAACGAACGCCTTAATTTTTTTATTATATTGATTTCACCATGTTACAGTTCATTTACATAAACATTGATTACATTTTCGTAGATACCTTTTACATAATTTACAATCCATTTTTTCGCTTTTTCCATATGAAGTACTTTTACGTCGACCAAAAAACGAATCGAATACATTCTCTCAAGTCCTGTATCTGTCTGTGAAAATGAAATGTCCAAATGTGCCATCATCAAAATATAGAGAGCAAAAAGGTAGTCTCCTACGGTTCGTGCTTAAGAAATCTTAAGGGCTAGTAGGTATCCAAAGCTTCTATCGGGAGAGTGTTATGATAAATTTTCGACAACTGACTGTTGTTAGAACATTTTCAATTAATAATCTACAAAAGAATAGAAACGAAAGACTATAGAAAATCCCTTGAAGCCACATCGCGTTATGTTACATCAGTTATTCTCCACGTGTTTCATCATCACTACATAGTATTAAACAAAGTCGTCCCGCTGTGTCTGTCCCTATGTATGCTTAGATCTTTAAAACTTCGCAACAGATCTTGATGCGGTATTTATGTTATTCAAGAGGACGGTTTATATGTATGTATTATACATTACATCCGTGCGAAGCCGGGCGGGTCTTTTGTTAATACTATATTAGAGTAGAGGCAAGTTTAGAACGTAGAACATAGTAATAATGTGTGCGATCAGGGGACCCCCGTCAGGAACGATGTTCCTTCTGTCTTTCCTTATCCTTTCATCATGTCAATTTGATCTAGAAAGAATGATCCGAATTTTGAAAATAACAGATCCATTTTTTCCCAAAAGATATAATCGATTATACACCATATTTAAATTAACGTTTAATCACAAATGAAAACGAATAAAAAATTTACGATAATTGAAATCCCAAAATCCACTAAACAAAATTAGAAAGGTTTAATTTTTCTTTGCAGTGGTGCTCCTTTGGCTTACAAAGTCTACTCAACATTTCAGGTCATTCATTTGATTCTTATCGGTATACACCTTTTATTGACGAATGAAACCCTTTGGATCCTTATTAGTTAAACCATGAATATCAAAGGCTATCTCTGTCTACCGGCTATCCTGATACGGTTAATAGACTAGAATTTTTAGTGTATATTTTTTTAGATTCTTTACTTAGTAAATAATTAGTAAGTCGTACTAATATTACTTACTAATTTATACATCAAGCTATTATTTTATAAACAAACTGATCATTCTATGACATAAACTATAATTGTACATACATTTTACAGTAGTAATCATGTTACATGTCATAATAAAAGATGTCGCAAGTTGTTATTCACTTGTAAGTATGTATGTACATGCAAAATGCGATGTAACGTGATTTTAGACCTATAATATGCGAACAATATTTGCACATCATTTAATTTATTAACAGACGAATATTGATGGTGACGTGATTAATTGCAATGTGTAATTGTATATGAAATCAATGAAATCATACAATGTATAATGTTTTATTGAACAACGACTGTTTTAATAAAACATTATTTTTTCGTATCACATTTTTATCCCAAGATTGATGCTGCCTGTGAAATAAACGCTTGACTTACGGTTGCAGATGCGTTGCCATTTTTAAGAGCACGTCAGCATCCAATCAAAATTTTTATGAAATATTTTTTGACATAAACATGTTGTATTTAATTAACTTTTATCATTCAACTGTGTCGGTGCTTTCTACCATTTTTTATGGTCAGTGCAGCATAAATTACATAGCATCTCACAAACCTAAGTTAATGCTAAATCGCAACACTTGTTATACAGTGTATTCCCTTTTCATACTTCGTCTAATCTATGTTTAACATAGAGTTTATTTAGATACTGATTTCGGTATGAATATCTTCATCAATAAACTTTTAATGTGAATAATGGAAGTGTTCCTCGCATCTTCTTTATTTTAAATACTATCATTGGAGAGACGATCTGGACGGACTGTTTGAAGAATATGTCTGTGGAAGGGGTGGAAGGAGACAGTATTGAGATGACGGCTGATAGAGGAAAGTGAAAGGAAAGGAAGGTTTTGCCGACCCCATCTAGTGTGGGATAAGGGCAGGAGAAAGGAGAATATTGTAGGGATGAAATAGTTAATTAATAAATGTAACTAACTTCAGGCAAATATTTATTTTTTATGTGAAACGTTGCCAAGCGAGCCAACGGTTCACCTGATGTTAAGTGAATACCGTCGCCCATGGAAATCCGCTCCACCCGAGGGTTGCAGATGCGTTGACAACCTTTAGTAAAACAAATAGTTTTGACGGTGGCACTTTTTTCTATGCCCTAACATTTATAGACACAAACTAAGGTTTTATATACAGCAAGGCCCCTGATAATGTACTGCATGCTAAAAAATTTACTTACCTTCTAATCAGGCTGTATTTTCCATTAAACCTGTTTAAATATACAAGGCCATTTCCGCTACAACTTTGTTGTTTGAAGTTCTGTCTTTAGAGGAACTTCAAAATACGAAAGTACTGTGGCCGCTGAAACTTTTAGGTGGACGAAACTTTAACTATTTACTCCAAACATAAAAGTTTTACCCCGCTTTGAAATTTGAACGATAACTACGCTTCGACTTTTGCTTAGTCTATTTTCCAGGTCGAAAGAAATGCAGTAGGCTACCTGATTTAAACAAATCTTTTATTTTCTAGAAGGCCTTTATATTTGCTTTGTTGTCTGAGCCCCTGTCCGCTCTTAGTTCCAGGCATCAGTTACTATTAGCAACGCAACACTGATAGTATCGTAGCAGCTCGAATTTTCTTCTCTAGTAAGGTACCACTGTACGTTTCATGTTGAAACAATCCTTATACATTCAAGACCTTTTTATGTGTTATTTTTAAATGCATATATATATTTTTTTAATTTTTTTTATTTTATTACCTCACACATGGACATCTACAACAAATGATAAGTTTGTAAGATAACGGTGCAATTTAACATACGTTGTCAACCAATAAAAACTGGGCGCCGGCTACCTTACTTACCGGACGAAACGTGAAAGTTTATTACTTCCACTTCACGCCGATCTTCTGTGAGGTCGCGGTACTTACCCGGACGGATCTGCCCATTCGTGCAACAGAGAAGACTGTTGCGTGGCCCCACCACAGCACATTTTCACAAAAAGATTATTTAGTCCCAATCTTAACATACGTTGTACTATGTATAAAGGTAACTGATAAACATAATAAAACATACTTTTCTTTAGCACATAAATACATGTTACAGATGAAAAACACTATGTTCATCACACAATATTCTTGCATTAGTGGGGATCGAGCCCAGTGCGCAAAAAGATACTCACTACATAGTACAAAACAAACTCGTCCCGCTGTCTGTCTGTCCATGGATATGCTCAGATCTTTAAAACTACTTAATGGATTTGATGCGGTTTTTTTACTAGATAGAGTGATTCACGAGGAAGGTTTATATGTATAATATATTGCACCCATGCGAAACCGAGGCGGGACGAGTATCGCTAGTATTAAAATACAGCGAAAAAATATACAATCTGTATTTTAAAAACCGAATGAAAGGCTGAAGCCTAGATATTTAAAACAGGCCAAGTGCGCGTAGAACTTTCGCACGAAAGGTTCCGTACCTTTATCTATAATAAACTTATTGAGAAGTACCTATAGGTTGCCTAGCAAACGCATCGCGTTTGTTTTATGGGAGCCCCTTTAAATACTTTTTATTTTATTCTGTTTTTTAGTATTTATGGTTATAGCGGCAACAGAAATAAATCATCTGTGAAAATATCAACTGTCTAACTATAACGGCTCATGATACTGTTCGTGATACAGCCTGGTGACAGACGGACAGACAGACAGACAGCGGAGTCTTAGTAAGAAGGCCGTTTTACCATTCGGGTACGGAACCCTGAAAATCAAGTTAAATGGCTTCTGAATTTCTAATGGATGATAAACGATATTATTTTAGGATTATGCTCCCACGTAGGTATACGTATTTGATAAACCTGTGATTATATACATAAAAAATATGATGTCTGGTGCTTTTTTAAGTTCATAAATAACTATATAGTTGCAGAACTATTACAAAATCTTTCACAAGATCTTTAATAAATTACATTGCTAATATTACACATAGATGGTCTATGTAATTTGTTTATATCAAACGCCTAAAACGCAATACTGTTACCGTCTAGTAGAGTCAAGGTTTATAACAAATTAAAATAAAGTTTTCTTTGAGAAAATCTGGAATATTTTGAGCTCTCAAAGTCAAACTTGAAATTGATCTTAACGTTCCTCTAACTTCTTAACAATGCTTTAGACAGTCTCGTTCTTGTATAAGGGTTTACATTTTCAATTGTTTCTTTTAATTTTACCATATGTCATTTTGATGTTTCGCTGAGTATTAGGGTTAGTTATTTTAAAAAGTTATTTACTCGCATCGGTTAGAGTCAATTTTTTTTAACTGATTTTAGCTATTTGATTACGAAGGGAAATTTAAGATAATAGATATACCACTCAGTAATTATATATAATTATTACTTCTTTAATACAGGAATGACCGAACTGCTCTACAAGTACCATTCTTTTTGTACTTGTTCCTTAGCATTTTTTTGTATTAGAAATGTCAAAAAAATTCTAAGGAATAAAGATTCCTTAAGATTTTTTGTATCCTATGTAAGAAACTGATAAGGATTTTACGTGAGTGTAAAAGTACCAACATAAAAGCAATAAATCATCAATTATCAACTTTTCTTGTTTGAGTCTCCTGCGCTCATATTTGGACTATGTAAAATTTAAGTGACCATAACGCTCGTTAAAGGGCCGCATTAGGGTTTATACCCTAATTAATTTTATAATTAAAGGTAACTAGAATTTGAGAAATTCCCAAGTTTCACTTGCCGTGTATATTATCACTTCCTTAGTCCAGTTTCAACTTCCTAACAGTGGTAAAATACCTTCGAGAGATTTCTTAATATACATAAATGTTATTCATTGTTATAAATATATATGATAATATTTGGAATGATCTATCCGAGTCATCGAATTACGGAAATGTATTGTATAATTTTGTAATCAAATTTCACGGTCACGCTGCGGTTTTAGGTTACAAAATAGGTATCGAGTAATCAGCTAATTGGTAACACATCAAATACGCGTCAACTATACGCTAACCCGAAATTGTGGCATGTATTATAATTGTTAAACGGCCTCACGTCAAATTTTCTAAAACGATAAACATTGTTGATGAATTTCGTGATTTCGCAGAGCAGTTTTTAAACTAAATACCTTCGCTTAGATTAGAAGATTCCGTGGCGGAGTAGTCAAGGCTGGGTTTGATTCTCACAAGGGACAACTATTTGTGCGACCCAAAGTTAACATAAAAACAAGGTTTTTTACAAAAAAGATAATAAAGAAATAAACTCCAAATTTAAATATTATGCTTAGCTTACTTTGTGGTCGCTTTCCGTCGACTATATATGCAAAACTCTTGAGACCTGTAAGAGAACTCTGGTCCCACGAGCAAAAGGCCAACCACGCTTGATAGGGATATGTGCTTGATTAAGGAGAGATATGTCACCTTCGGGCCATAGAGGTTCGGTACGGACCTTGAACTCGATGGTCGAACTGTATAAATCGTTGGCTGGGGATCCTGGGCTGGAATGCGGGTGTATTTTGTGTTCGGGTTTAGGTGAATATGAACTCATTGGTGTATTAGCAGGTAAATATTTTAAACTATTTTTTATATTACCTATACTCAGTTGTTAAAGCAATTTAGTTTAAGTTGACTCCAAGTTGATCTTTGTAGCCAAAGTTTTGGCCTCTGTGACAGATTTACACTGTTTGAGTTTGAGAATGTCATTCTGACCTCGTAAGATGTTTCGTGGCTTCGAAAACTCAAAGTCCTTTATTAATTTAACAAAGTCATTGGAATTTACATTGCCCACTCTGTATATGACGTAATATTAATTAAACATTAAATTATAAGATTAAATAATAAAAAAATAGATTTTCAATAATATAAATATTTTCATTAAATTATGATTTGGCTATATTTTTTTAAATTCTTGCAGAGAGAGTTATTGTAATGATAATTATGTTGTGGATGAAAAAACTTTATACAGGGAGATTTTTTGAGAAATGCCCAAATTTACACAGGAGGTTCAGACTCGGTAGTATAATCGTTTATTGAAATAAAAAACAAAGGTTTTTTTCCAAAAAAAAATGCCATTCAATTCCCTAAAAAACAGAACGTGTTGACAATGCGGCGGTCATTCATAAATACCAAAATTGTACTGTGCACGAACTTGTGTGCGTGTTAGTTATGAATGATCGCGCGTAAAATAAATGAGTTGCGTATATATGATGCACTTTTTGAGATAAGTTCAAATGAATGTAATTAATTACTTACGAGTGATTTTAAATATTTATCATTTCTTATATAACATTATTTATGTCTAGAATTAATAAAAAAATGGATACAAAAAACCAGCAAAGCCACCCTGTATAGCTTATAGATAGGTTTTATCCAATTCAACACAACGAGATAACGATTTGCTGCAAAAAAATAAAAAGATTGGAATGATTTAACCTATAATGGTAATATTTACTAGAAAAAAAGCCGTGGCCAAACTAGGAAATTATCAACTGGAGGAATTAGACACGAGTGAACATTAGATTCGCCACTAGTAACTTTTTTCTAAAGTATATAACCGATATCGCAGTCTCTATTCTGATTGCGACTTCTGACGCCGGTGGACCATAAGGTCTCTTATTGATTTAAAATATTTCGTCACTCGTGAGTAGACAATGGTCTAAAATTTAAATATATAAAACGTTAAACTATTATACAACAAGCATTTATAAATAACACACATTATGAATAGCACATATTTTAAATTTACTTATTATTGCATTAAATGACGACGACCTATAATATTTCTGTGACATGTAGTATCTTGTATCTTGTATCTTGTATTAACTGATGTTTTTGCTTTCAGTCCCGAGACTATTAAAGCTTCATCTGACGCAGAACCGGTGGGCTAGCCAGAACCCACGGGTTTGGGCCCTCCGCTGTGGGTAGGGCCACGCATATGCTCATGGGTGCGTTTAACTATGGTGTGTCATCTAAGGGCCATCGAGGTCGCGGTTCGGACCGAGACCCCGATGGCCGTCGACTGTGCAATTAGCTAATCGGTGGATGGGAGCGGTGAGAACCGCCCCGGAACGCGGGTGTACCTTGTGTACGCGTTGTGTTGGCCTCGCCGTGCTCGGAGTCGAGGGCGAACTAGTGTGTTTGTTGTTGCACTAACTGTGGGTGTACTGTTATCCGGCGGGAAGACATGTAGTTTGCTGTTTAGCCCGGCTTTGACAGCTTCGGCGGAAGAGGTCCACAGCACCTATCAATAAATTGGGCTCCGGCTACCTCACTAACCTGACGAAGCGCAGAAGTATACCACTTCCACTTCACGCCGGTCTTCTCTGAGGTCGTGGTACTTATCGGACGGACCAGCACAGCCGTGCAACAGGAAAGACTATTTATTGAGTAACCTACCACAGTTTTAATTTTAATTGGAACGACAAAAGACTTTCTAAACATTCATAATTTTTTCCGTCGTTGGATCATGGGGTTGTTTTTAAAATAAAATGCTTAGGTTAACTTACGACTACAACAATATCACCTCTTACCATAAGGCAAAGGCAAGCAAAGCTTGTATGTAAAAAGTATCGGAAGCGGTCTATTTGTGCAGACAGGCTGATGACCGGTTAATAGGATTTACTTTAGAGTTATCTGCTTCTCGAAGGTTCTCGAACAACCTAATGAGGTACTCGAAAAGTGTGACGGACGTATTGGAATAAAGCCAAAGACGATATATAGCCAACGCTCGTCGTATTATATACTGCATTCGTATGATATACGAACTCAGGTTGCTCGAGTATATTGAATTAAAGGCGAGCGCCCGGACACTGAGCTATTACGACTCATTGTCCGGGCTTCATATCAATTTCTACTGGGATTTCCATTTTAATGGAAGAAATTGAAATATCTTTATGCAATATAGAAGCATTATACTTAGTGTTTGCTGTTGCAGGTCCGTCCAGGTTAGTACCACGACCTCATAGAAGACCGGCATGAAGTAGAAGTGTTCACTCCTGCGTTTCGTCTGGTGAGTGAGGTAGCCGGGGCCCACTTTATCACATATAAAAAAAATACTTATTGAAAATAACATGTTTACGACATACATATTAAAGTCCACTTGAAAGAGCCTCCAGCGAACAACTTTTTTTTCTGTTACCCGCTACTTGAGTTGTTATTAAAATATCATAATGTGAACGAGATGAAATCTCACATGTGTTCGTACATTCAGGCAGCATTAATTTTTCACGACGCAACCTTGCCATGCATGGAGCTCCAATGCACCTCTAATCACTAGAAGTGAATGTATTTATACTTTATTTTATGTCAGATAGTGGCACATACGTCACTAAGAATCTTATTGTCTTTTTTTTTAATTATATAAGTATAAAAAACGATTTAAGTATAAAATCAGCAGCACTCTCTGGACAACTCTCACAACGGCCGAACACGGACTAATATTTATTTTATAAATATTAGTAATATCAGTAAGTATCGGACTAATATTTATTTAAGTATCGGACTAATATTTATTTTCCGATAAATAATAGTCCGATAGATAATAAATAATGTAATATTTATTTTATTTCAGAATTTTTGTCCATAAGGCAAAGCGGTGACTAGTAAAATAGTCTTTAACTCAACAACTTAAGATGCACGCGTTAGAGCTTAACGAGAAAAAATATAGACTCAATGTTTAATTTTTTTTTCTGAGAATGTTTGTTACATTTTTAGCTTACAAAAATATTTTTAAATAAATTTATACGTCATTAAATAGAAAGAAAATTTATCTGTATTCAATAGGATATCGTCAATTTTGTGTGAAGAGGCAACTTATTTACAATAAAATAAAACATTTAAAAAAAATTCTACCATTTTAACATGAAATAGTACCTGCCTACCTGTAAGTAATTAAGTATAATTTTGCTGCAAAATGCACAAAAAAAAAAAAAACATCTTACTTGTGCCAGACTTTGCCAGATTTATAAACACGTCTTTAACACGCCAAGTCACCATATGGATTTGAACTATTTGCGGCTATCATAATACTTCTAGTACTTCAAAAGGGTCGACATTTTTAAATAAAATTTTTAGATAAAAATACTACATACCTAAATATAATTTTTACAATACCCGATACATTCAATTAAATATTATTTGTTGCGAACGCTTCCAGTAACAAATATTTATTTTCAATGAAAGGATGTGGTTTCCTTTGAAGCTTATACATGAAATACTCTTTTAAGGCGAAGCTGGGCTCGTTCATATTTATTAGGCTTCCACTTAAGGTGGACTTTGTTACATTTAATAAAGCGTAAACCTTGTATCGCTGTTTGATACGTGTGCTCTGAGAAAATTATAAAATGAATATGATATACTGTCACCTGAATAAGAAGACATTTAGCAAATAAGGCTTGCATGTCCGTGAAATTGATACGCAAGCTATGGTGGCAGTTATTGCATTTAGATGAACGTTAGAGCCGTGATAGCTCAGTGTCTGGGCGCTCGCCTTTAATTTAATGTACTCGAGCAACCTGAGTTCGATCCCCGGTGTCAGCACCAATGAAATTGTTAATTTCAAGTGCTGAATTATCACGTGCTCCGCAGTGAAGGAAAACATCGTGGGGAAACCTGCATATTTTCGAAATAATAATAAAAAAAATATTTTTCGAAGATATGTCAAGTCCGCCAATTCGCAGTGGGGCCGCGTGGTGGACTATGCAGAACGGTGAGGGGGACATACGAGAAGACATACGAGTTGCAAACAGCACATAGATATTGAAAATGATGGGATAACTAAGTCGGAAAAGAAGAAGAGTTCAGGAAAGTGTAAAGAGTAGTCAGTGCTCTTAGAGAGCGTCGTTGACGTATGGGTAGCCACTGAAGTAGAGCACGGTAAGAAGATACATGGTCATACTTGCGAAGATTGAAAACGAATCGAATGCAGTTATTCAGAAGTCGGTAGAGTTTATTGAGTTGATCTGCATTCAGGTCGAAGTATCACACGTCACCATAGTCGATTAAAAGGAAAATTAAGGACTGCACGAGCAATTCCTTCGTTTTAGCCGGCAAGAAATTTTGAGCCGGTATAGACACTGTAGGACCCTAGAGACTTTTTGACAGACACTTTCTACCTGAGGATTCCAGTTGAGCGTCATGTCAATGTGCAAGCAGAGATTTTTCACATTACTCAAGTCCATATTAAACGAAACTAGTTTACGGATTTTATCTCGTTTTTTATTTTGATTTGAACTCCCGACGTTTCGAACCCTTTCCAGCGTTTATGGTCACGGGACAGACTAAGTTGTTATACGTCTTGATGTCATAGTTAACCCCGGCTACCGTCAATTATTTTGTTTATTTTCTTTTCGCGTCCGATATAAATATATTACGTAAAATGACAATGATTAATTCGGCGCGATTAAAGGTTGCCTAAATATAAAACAAAAGACAGATGCAGCTGGCAAAGAACTAAATTATTAATTTTATTTTCTACATGTTTTAACTAAATTATTCTTCGTAATAGCCTACAGTTAAAATAAATTTCAATAAAATGTATTATCATGTACACTGCTCGACAAAGTTTCTATAAGTTCGGAGGCGAACTGCAAGGTTCAATAAAAGTTCATGCTTTTTTTTATGAGAAAAGTTGCCAAACGAGCAGACGGTTCACCTGATGGTAAGTGAATACCGCCGCCCATGGACATCTGCTAAACCTGAGGGTTACAGATGCGTTGACAACCTTTTGAAAAACTTTTCACAAGCTTTTCACACAAGATTGAAATATTAAATCTGTTCTTGCCATGATAAGCCGCGCTTAGTGTTATTTTCATATATCAGAAACTGGTTTTTGTTCCCAAATTTTTACACCAGCTGGTAATTTGGGTAGTCTATAAATTGTGTTAGCGGCTGAAAATTTTTGACAATATCATCATCATCATTTCAGCCTGTTTAAGTCCACTGCTGAACATAGGCCTCCCCCATAGACTGCCACGAAGCAGAATCTTGAGCCACCTGCATCCCCCATAGACTGCCACGAAGTACGATCTTGAGCCACCTGCATCCATCGACTTCGCAAACATTTGCACAGGTCGTCACTCATAATTTGACAATATACCTCCAAACGCAGTAATTGATTACGGTTTAATTTAATAACTTGGAATTGTAGGTAAAACGTGTCAAAAAGTTGTAATTGGTTGCCGTGGTAATGCCGTGAAATTGGTCGCGGTCTGATTTGATCGCTTCGCAACCAACTTCATCGTGTCGCTTTTTACTGTCGGTTTGCGCGCGCAAGTCTTTTAGTCTCATAACTTTATCCAAACGCGCCAAAATAAGGATAGCTTCAAAAAATATAATGCTTGCACGTGAATTCAATAGTATCTTTACGTGACAGCATTTTATAATAGTTATAATAATAAATAATAATAATAATAAAATATCTATTTCTCACCACAACTAATTTTTAAATTTTGTAAAATTTTTGACGCGTCTTACTCATCACCCTGCCTGACGTGAGGCGTCCCAATTGGGACGTTTTCGACTTTTGGCGCCTTAACATCATATCCGTAGTATAAAACATCATTGGCTGTTAAGGATATAACAATAGATGTGTCAAGCATTCCTTGATATTCCAAAAAACAGTGTAGATAAAAAATGGCAGTCAATCGTTTAGCTTTGTGGCTAAAGCGTCAGGTAGCGACTGCTGAAGACGTGGGTTCGATTCCCATAACATCTGTTCGTAATTTTTCTACAAAAATTGTTTTTTTTTTTTACATTTTATGAAAATAATAGGCGGTTTCACAAATGACACGTGATTTACCCTAGTCCTAGTGCAATTAAACTTATTATATTTCCAAAAACTTAACCTACCATAGTATTTTCGTAACGATTCGGTCGTGACGGCAATTTCTTTTTTCACCTAACCCTAATCCACCAAGCGGATAAAGAAATTTCGGACATTCGTTCCAAAAATCTTTGAAATTTCTAAAACATTTAAAACTCGATTAAAGAAAGCCTATTTCGATATCGAAATAGGATATGTATGTTCGCCTTAAATTATATTTAATACTACTAAATAAAACAACATCAATATGTATGAAGTATTCAGAACAAGTTTGTCTTCCTGCTATATAACGTGTACAAATGTCCTGCGTTTCAAAATTAATTATCCTCCATACTAATTAATAAGACATTTTCAATACTAAAACTGCATCTTTAAAGTTGAATAATTATGAACTGTAGGTAAAACGATAGAGAATGGAGCATAATTAAAGAAACAATAGAAACTGGAATACTTTACTGAAGTACTATGCTTTATTAAGTATTGTTAAGAAGTTAGAGTACCGTTAAGCTCACGGTAAAGTCTGAATTTGCGAGTCATGAATCTATGCGTTCTCAAAGTTATTTTTTACTACCATTTTTTTAAATACATCCCAAAGTTTTTCCAGCTGTTCTGTAGATGCGTTTCATATATGCAAGCTTTTTAAAGACCAAGTATTTGACCGGGATTTGAGAAATAATTGTATGGGCCAACCTGCTGACGTAACTCTTTTCGAAAAGTAGCAAAAAAAACAGGAACGTCACCAAATCAATAAATCTGCCCGAAACCGAATAATACAATAAGCATTCTGTAATTCGGATGAAATAAAACAATTTATAATTTAATCAAAAATGTGATAGGTTTATTAATATGTTATTGTTAAAAGTGCTGGCATAATTATTTTCGACGTCTCATTTGAAACCGCACCAATAATACATAATGTTGAATTATAACGTATCTTATCTAAAAAATAAAAATTTTGAATATTTTGGACTATAAGAAGTTCAAAAATTAGAGGAACATGACGAACCACCGTTTCGTTCAGATTTAAAAAATGTCTATCCATAGATGAAATGTATATTTCTTATTTCGATGAACAAATAAAATGTTCATGGAATCGTATTAAATATGGGCTTTTACAGAAAGAAGAATCTTAAATACACTTGTCGGCAATGAGACTCTCTACTTCTAATGGTAAGCACCAAACGTTAGAGAGTCGGTAGTTCAGATCAAAAGAAAAAAGAGGTCAGCGTGGTATTAGAAGCGGCTGTTAAATAGTGGTGTCTAACGCTATAAACTTAACTTTGGTAACTTACGAACGTATTAATTTTTATGTAAAATTTTTGACATTTCATAAGAACGCGCAAGCGTCTATGTGAATAAATATATTTTTGATTTTGATTTTGATTTTTATAGCTTCGGTTTACTTAATACTTTTTAACCAAGAACCAGCCGGTGCTTGACTACTCACTTAAGGGTAAGTAAAGATTCTCTATGATTTAAGATCTTCATTATCCCGACTTATCCCCAGTATCTTATCATTAATGGACGTTGCTTTATCGCCATTTCATGCTTAATCTAAAATGCAATTTTGAGAAAATTTATAACGTGATAAATGATATTCATTTATATCATAAAATATACGCGTTTTCTCTGTAGCGTATTACTCAACATTTGATTTAATTTTACAAACATTATGACGTCGCGTCAACTGACACTGTTGAATGACGAACTTGAACATTTTTCTATGAGCAGTTTCTATCTTATGAGAAGGGACAATTGTAACAAGTTTCTAAAGCTTTTTGTGTTGTATTAATAAATTAAGATTAAATAAAATAAGACTTCATTAATCAGCATAATTCAATTACTTTAACATATTTAATTTTACACAAAATCATTTACGCAGACTTTTAATATAATTTTTGAGGGTACCCTTAAAATTGTCCCATCACAAATAGGTTGGTTCTCATCAAACTGAGAATCCAGTAATTTGAACTAAGTAGAGAAAATGCAGAAATTTTCCTATAAGTAGGGTTAAGTTTCATGAATATAATTTTTAAGCAGACGGTGCCCGAGTTACGTCAACATCAGTTCGTTACCTAGTTTGTTGGAATCTATGGTTGACAAAGTAAAATAGAACATTCATTATTCAGTAAATACTCTTAAAATCCCTTATGAAATATACCATACAGAGATTCATTCATAACGTTTATTATTTAGCGATCAAAGTTATATTCCACAATCTGTATTAAATGCCTTAGGGGGATTGTTTTACTTTAGAAGTAATTTTAAACCAAGGATTGAATTTGAAATCTTTGTGGATTTGTGTTTACATAAAATTCAATTAGACAAAGGGTCGATCTACTTCTGTACGGATTAATTAAGGATTCATACATTAAATGTCTAACAGATAATGTCATTGAGAATTTTGTGGTAGTATAGGGAAAGTAATAAGAAAAAGAACTCATTAAAATTGTGCTGAATTTATCGTGATCATTATTGCATCAACTAAAGAGCCAATAATCCTCGGCCGCAGCCGCAATTGCCCCATCCATTGATGTGGCCCAAATCGGTGGCCCAAGGGGCGCCGGCGCCATGGAAACCAGAAAAGCCTGCACCCGAGAGGACGCCAGGGGAGGCGCTCTCCTCGCTAATGATGCGCACGCCGTCGTAGCCGCAGCCGTAGGTAACGGCCCCGGCGCCTGCGGACGGCACCGCGCCCTCCAAGTACGCTGTGCCCAGGAAGGGCACCTGGCCCACTACGGCCAGGGCACCAGCGTACTCATTCTCTGAAAGCACCGACACCCCGCTAGGCGGTACGGGCGAGGCGCTCCTGACCGCGAAGCCCCCACCGTCAGAGGCAGGCACCACCCCGGACTCGAAGCCCGCACCGCAAGTGCCACCCAGCCACGGCGTCGGCAGCGGGTACTCTATGTACCCCTGACCACACCCGCACGGTGCAGAGTTGTATGAATTGCGGAGGAGGCATTCACCGTTCGTAATCTGTAATACGAAAATGCTTGGTGTGTTAATTTGTAATTATTTTTTCTGATAAAATAACAATACAAACAATATAAACATTACCTGAACCAAAATGGCCACCGCGCAGAGCAAAAAGAAAATGGGAGCACACATTTCCGAACCTTCCTATCAATTGACTGTATATAGAATTGAAATTGAACGCTTCTTTTATAGGTACAAAACTACATTGCTAAACTCTAGAGAATGGACACTTAAGCAGCGATAGCAATGGTTGCGTAAAAATAAAGTTGTTAATATTGCAGTACAAGCGGTACACGTGATGATATCGAAGCAAACGAATTATTTGAGAGAATCGAGTATAAAAGCTACACAAAACAAACTTATTACAGTCAATCACAAGGGTTGAATACAAACATGACTACCTTCGCATTCGTTACTATATTGGTCTGCTTTCAAGCATGCGTCGTACAGGTAAAATAATTTAATTACGTTAGGATTTTAAATTGGCTAATTTTGTGTTCAATGTGTACATTTATTTTTAACAGAGTGTGTTCGGACAGTGCTATGGCAGCTTACCGCTAGCTTCAGTGGCCAATAACGCAGGGTGTGGTCGTGGACTGGGCTACGAGCTGAGGAGTTCCGGTCAGGGTTGGAGCGGTGCCGAAGTGGCCGGGGCGTATGGGGGAACCGGTGCGGGTGACTTGGACGTCGCCGGTGAGCTGCCAGTGGCTGGCACCACTCTGGTTGCTGGACACGTACCGGTTTTAGGAGCTGTTCAGTTCGCGGGAGAGGTCCCGGCGGCCGGAACGGTCTCTATCTTCGGAAAGTGCGGTTGTGATTGTAATGGAGGGCCGTTGTCGTATTAGAAATACTTGGTTTATGTATGCTGTCTGTTTATTTTACTGACAATAAGTACTGATTTTGCTATTTATGAATTATAATTTAAAACATATTACTGGTACTCTATCAGTCTCGCCCTAAGTCGTTTAATTTATTAGGATGATTAAAAACCAACGGCCGACTAAAAGAAATTGAAGAGATATAATAATATCTAACACCCCAGTATTGGCATTCGCAATTCTCTATTAATTGCTTATACTCCGGTCGTAACTGATCACTAAGTTTAAGTAATTGGTCAACCATGGATCAATAATTCTGAAATAATTTTGGATCCAATCTCTAAGATTAAATTAAATTAAGCCACCAACATTTTTTCGATGTCCATGGAATTTTGAACTCTCTGTAGTCAGTGTCAAATTATTGACCAATTGCTAAAAATCACAAAACATTTGTGACCAGTTAGAACTACTTTTTTAGAGTTCTCACTTTGGGCCGCTAAAAAGCAACTGAAGTCTAAAGTCAGAGATTTGGTACCACGATGTTTTTTGAATTTAATTTGTTTTTGGATATAAGCACAAAATATAGAGAGTTTAGACAGTTGCACCCTACGTAAGAGGGAGAAAGCAACAGCTCTTATTTCTGTTTTATTTTCTATGAATTATTCCGTAACCCAATATATTATTCGGTGATCTAGAATGCAATTACACGAGCTTTAATTTTTTCTATTTTTATATTATTTATTTTAATTAATTTTAATTAAAATATTTATTCTATTAATTCCGCTTAAATTACATATATACGTATTTACGATAAAAACATAATAACACCAGAACTACGTGTGTAAATATTAAATAACGTTGATATATAAAATTTATATATGCTGTTAAATATATATTAGTACTACTAAATATATTTTAACTAATAACAACGAAAAGTTCTGCGATGTCATCACTAAAATACATGTTACTCCCTTATACGTCCCATTGACATTTCTCTTTGAGTTTTAACGTTTCTTTAGTATCGTGGTACTGCAAGGGCTTGCCTATTCGTGCAACAGTAGAAGCTGTTGCAAAGCTTATAATCAAAGAATATACGCATTTATCATAAATAAATATGGACGACTGTATGATGTTTCAACGAAACAAACAATTAGGTACTCTTATTATTTATTGTTTAAACGGCAATTGTCATCTCACCTATACCTAAATCTGTCATAATTCGTACGACAAACGTCAAACTTTAATTCTAATGCTTTTAAAATACTATTAACAATAAACTGATTAGAATCTATTTAAGGGGTCATTTTTCTAATTTCCTGGCGAAAGATCTTTTAAATCACATAAGACACCATTTCTAATCTAAAATGCCAATCAAATTCATATTTAAATAAATAAAAGTAAAAAGTAAAGTAACAGTCTATACAAGTCCCACTGCTGGGCCAAATCCTCCTCTATACAGAGGGTATCAGGGCATCGTCCACCACACGGCCCCAATGCGGTTTGGCGGACTTCACATATCTTCGATATATATTTTTTTTGTTATTATTTCGAAAATATGCAGGTTTCCTCACTATGTTTTCCTTCACTGCGGAGCACGTGATAAGTCAGCACTTAAAGTTAAAAACTTCATTGGTGCCGACACCGGGGATCGAACTCAGGTTGCTTGAGTATGTTGAATTAAAGGCGAGCGCCCGGACAATGAGCTATCACGCCTCATATTATTTAAATATATCATAATATTCAATCTCATATTACTTAAATAAATAATATAATATTTATCATTTTAATAATATTTAAATGACAAATAATATTATCTTATCATAAAGTAATATTTATCATTTTAATAAATAATGTAATATTTTAGTGATCCTTATTAATTGAAACTTGATTTTTGGTTAGGGTTTCAAATTAGTTAAAAATCAAAGCAGTTGGCTAGTGTCTGGGCGCGTTACCTAGAAGACACAGGTTCGAATCCTTTTAGTGCCGAACACTTTTCGATAATCAAATTCATATTTAAACGTAATATTTGAAAACGATTAAGTTCCGCGCATGTGTCCACTGTTATTCGTAACTGCCTAGCATATATTTATATGGTAATAAATTATTTGAGAAAAACATTATTTTTGTTATTGATTTTTTGTCTAAAAATGCAAAAATCAGTAGCTTGAAACGTAAAGAAAAACCTAAATTGTAGATGTAGATCTGCAGTTGGTTTATTTAATTAAAAGAAAATAATATGATTAGGGCATATGAAATAGTAATCGTCCTTTGGTAGTCGTAATTGTGTTGTATGTGAAAATGTAGTAATAAAATGTTATCTGTATTGCACGCATAATAGTAACGCCTCTATGTATGTATGTACGTGCAAAAATAAAATTCGACGTGACTGACATACGAGTTATAAGATATGAACAGTATTTGCACATCATTAGGGTTTACTGACACAAATCGTGATAATTGGCTTACTCAAATATTTACAATGTTCATGTGAATGTGAACGTTGTATTTCGTTCGTTTGAAAAATTATGTTCTTGCGGCATATTTTTTGCGCTTACTTGAAAAAATTTTGTTAACGTGTTCGATACACACGTGTTCTACGAATATAGAATAGATGGAGGCTATGCAAGGATCGCGGAAGTCGCTTCTAAACGGTCGCGTTAATGTCGGATCGGATAACACTGCCTTTAGAGGCATGAGTCTCGATTTGGCTGATTTTTGGTTTTTACAATGAGCCGTTTCGTTATAAGTAAGACATAAAGTAATTGCTGCAATTGTTATGCAACTTGACGTATCGTTGGTACTACCAATTTAGCACAGATATCGGGGCGGTGTTAACTGTACTTTGTTCAGGCGTCAGGGGTGTGATAAAGACATGCAAGCTTAGTGGGGCGGGGAGGCCCGTTTTTTGCAGTAGAAGCACTCGGTCCTCCTGTGAACGGGGGCACTCTAAAATACCATGATCCCGGTTGCAGTTGACGCTTCTGATGCTGGTGAAACAATTCCGTTTCATAAAAAAAAGCAAAATAACAGCCTATACATGTCCCACTGCTGGGCAAAGGCCTCCTCTATACAGAGAGTATCAGGGCATAGTCCACCACGCGGCCCCACTGCGGATTGGCGGACTTCACATATCTTCGAAATATATATATTTTTGTTATTATTTCGAAAAGATGCAGGTTTCCTCACGATGTTTTCCTTCACCGCGGAGCACGTGATAAGTCAGCACTTAGTTAAAAACGTCATTGGTGCTGGCACCGGGGATCGAACTCTGGTTGCCCGAGTACATTGAATTAAAGGCGAGCGCCCGGACACTGAGCTATCACGGCTCTTCCGTTTCATATGATCGCACAATTGACAGTTGTGGCATCCTATGCGAATTCCTATGAATGTTCAATGCTCAATTTTATGAAGACTTAAGGTGGCTCAGGATCGTGCTTCGTGGCAGTCTGTGGGGGAGGCCTATGTTCAGCAGTGGACAAAAACCAGTCTGGAATGATGAATTCCTGAGGGCCATTATTTTTATATTGAAAATGGCTTTAACTTCCGAGGTAAAATTGTGTTTAGTCATGGGCATTAGCCGTCCCCAAGGCGAGAAATTTGTGTAGTACTCTTAATATGTTTAACAAGGCCCTGCCTACGAACACAATAGATTGATTGAATATTCTTTATTGCACACACCATGGTAAAAAAATATACATTAAAAATAACACGTAAGAAGTTTCTTCCGTTTGTTTTTCTTCTAATACGTTTGGTCTTGCTTCTTTCACCAGAAAGGTACCTTCGTCCAGATAATTCAAAAATAATTCGAAAATAAAACAATTTTCGATAAAACTTTATTTTTCTATATCCCTTCAATATAAAAAAAAATACTTTCTAGTGCGGTATCGGTTGTTATAACTTTTAATTATTATATTAATCTGTTCTAGTGGAGTCAGGTCAAAGAGGACTGATACGCGCTGTTGAAAAGATGGATGGATGCGCATTTCGTCTACCACCGCACCATATGAATTGCCGGAGGAGCATAATTGCATATGCCAATGGTAACAAGTCTGGCATTTCCTTGCAGATCTGCGTTAAATACTTTCATTCAGCGTCAATGGAAGAACTGAACAGAACACAGAACACAGAACTGAACAGAACACAGAACACAGAACTGAACTATTTGAAGAAAACTGGCCACCGCGTACCGCGCGGGAGGTTACTGCGGCACAGAACAGTCGAGTTCAATTCGTGAAATATGAAAACAACGAGCAAGCGAGTTCACTGCCTTCTGCTCTGAAGATGGATGAAACATCACAAGGCTAACAAAGTCATGGCTTCGTCTAAAGAGCATCACTACAGTTGAAATACCTTCATACAGTCTAGAATTTTAGCGATCGATTTCGAACGATTCGACCAGAATCCATCAATTTAGATGAGTGTACGTATCTTGTAATAATAACCTTGTAATTAAGCGTAGAATAAAGTACATTAATGACCTGGAGATATTTAGTCCTGTTCTTGTGTGGCGAGGTTTATTAAAAAATGTACAAGAAAATAAATAAATATTTCGGGACCATTTTAAACAACGTTTTCTAGCCCCAAACTAAGTAACGCTTATACTATGGGTACTAGATTACTAATAAACATCCTTTTTTTTTTTTGTAAATTAATACATATTTTATATATGTATAAACACCAAGATACTATAAAACCCCTATGTTCATCACACAAACATTTTGCAGTATTGAACGTTCTGTCGCAAGGGACAGGGTCTCTTTCAGCAACGCTAATTAGGTCGTATAAATCTAATATATAAAATTCTCGTGTCACGGGGTTCGAACTTAAACTCCTCCGTAACGGCTCGACCGATTTTTGTGATCCTTAGCGTGATTGTCGGCCAGGGTGGAGAATCGGCCAACATCTATTTTTCATCCCCCTAAATGTTAAGGGTAGTCCCCTAATTTTATTTTTTATTTTTTAGGCAAAATTTTTTGTTTTTATTTTTTTATGATACAGCATACAAAAATACATACAATACTAAATTTTCACCCCTCTACGCAGACGTAGTCGCGGGCAGCAGCTAGTAAATATATAAAATTCAATAAAGCAAAAAACATACTATTATATTCTTAATAATAAATGATGCGCTGGTTGCCATAGAGCGTTGCTGGGTCGCTGCATAATATTGAAGCACGGCTCCCGGAGAGTGTTTTTAGTAAAGCCTTTTAGTCTTTTCTTTTATGTGAAAACTTGGCAAGCGAACAGGCAGTACGTCGCAAGTGAGGTGATTTTGATTTTTTAAGATCAAAAATAATTTGTGAATTACAGACTCAGGTGTTTATTGTATAATTTCAATATAACATACAGATAGTACATGATTGTGAATGTTTCTAATGTAATAACGGCCCTCCATTACAGTCACAACCACACTTTCCGAAGATAGAGACCGTTCCGGCGGCCGGGACCTCTCCCGCGAACTGAACAGCTCCTAAAACCGGTACGTGTCCAGCAACCAGAGTGGTGCCAGCCACTGGCAGCTCACCGGCAACGTCCAAGTCACCCGCACCGGTTCCCCCATACGCCCCGGCCACTTCGGCACCGCTCCAACCATGACCGGAACTCCTCAGCTCGTAGCCCAGCCCACGTCCACACCCGACGTTATTGGCCACTGAAGCTAGCGGTAAGCTGCCGTAGCATTGGCCGAATACACTCTATTGATGAAAATAATTATACACGTTAAACACAAAATTAGCCAATTTAAAATTCTAACGTAATTAAATTATCTTACCTGTACGACGCATGCTTGAAAGCAAACCAATATACAAACGAATGCGAAGGTAGTCATGTTTGTATTCAACCCTTGTAATACTCATAAGTTTGTTTTGAGTAGCTTTTATACTCTATTCCCTGATATTATTTGTTTGCTAACATCACGTGTACTGCCTATGCTGCAAAATTTTACAATTTTATTTTGACGCAACCATTGCTATCGCTACTTAAGTGTCAATTCTAGAGAGTTTAGCAATGTAGTTGTGTACGTATAAAAGAAGCGTCCAATTTCAATTCTATATACAGTCAATTGATAGGAAGGTTCGGAAATGTGTGCTCCCATTTTCTTTTTGCTCTGCGCGGTGGCCATTTTGGTTCAGGTAATGTTTATATTGTTATTTTATCAGAAAAAATAATTACAAATTAACACAGGAAGCATTTTCGTATTACAGAATGTGAACGGTGATTGCTTCCTACGAAATTCATACAATGCGGCGCCGTGCGGGTGTGGTCAGGGGTACATAGAGTACCCGCTGCCGACGCCGTGGTTGGGTAGCACATGCGGAGCGGGCTTCGAGTCCGGGGTGGTGCCTGCCTCTGACGGTGGGGGCTTCGCGGTGAGGAGCGCCTCGCCCGTACCGCCTAGCGGAGTGTCGGTGTTGTCGGAGAACGAGTATTCCGGTGCCCTGGCCGTAGTGGGCCAGGTGCCCTTCCTGGGCACAGCGTACTTGGAGAGCGCGGTGCCATCCGCAGGCGCCGGGGCCGTTACCTACGGCTGCGGCTACGACGACGTGCGCATCATTAGCGAGGAGGGCGCCGCCCCTGGCGTCCTCTCGGGCGCAGGCTGTGCTGCTTTACCTGGCGCCGGCGCCCCTTGGGCCACCAATTTAGGCCACATAAATGGATGGGGTAACTGCGGCTGCGGCCGAGGATTATCGGCTCTTTAATTGATGCAATAATGATCACGATAAATGCACCACACTTTTTATGATTTCTTTTTCTTACTACTTTTCCTATATCACTAAATTCTCAATTAAATTATCTGGTAGATATAAAAGGAATGTAGCTTAATCCGATTTTAATAAAATAACAATGCTGAAGAGGTAATGAATGAACTTATTCACTTTAAATGAAACTAATTTTACGGATTTATCGCGTTTATTTTTATTTTTAATTCCAAAAGATCGGACACAAAATTAATAATTCAAAAACTGACGGTAGCCCGAGCTAACTATGACGTCTAACACCTCAGTCTGTCCCGTGACCATGAACGCTGTAAAGGGGAAACGTCGGGAATTAAAATTAAAAATAAACGCAATCCGTAAAATTAGTTTCATTTATAATGTGTAATCGTGTAAATACAAGAACTTAGTCACATTACAAAGTAGTTGAATCGCTTGCGCAGTTGACAAGCTGTTGGCTTCTCAGCTTGGGGTCGTGGGTTCGACTCCCACACGGGACATATAATATATACAAATAATTTCGTGATTCTAAGTCAACGGGAACTACGATATAAGAAACTATAGACCTCTCAGTATTTGGTATAAATTTCAGCTTGCTAGGTCCACCCGTTCCTGAGATAATCGATGGTGATTTATAGATTTTAGTATGACGCTATAATGTGATTCGGATGTAATATAACGGATGTTGCATGTAACGTTACAAGATCTTATAGAGTGAAATATGTATCACTACTATCTATTTCAGTTATGGTCTTAATACCTAAATGTTTTTATAAATATTTAGTGTCGTATTTTTTTTACTAATACATTAACAAAAAATTTAACAAAACAGTAATCACGAATCGTGTTGAAATATTTCTTACATTGTCGTAGAATTGAAATTTGAAATCATAAATTCAATCTTAGCAATCATGTTACGTATTTACGTAGGATTAAGTAGGTTGTGCCAATAGAATATTTGCTGTGTAGCATGGTTTTATATATGTATAAATGTATGCCCGTACAAATGTGCAACGCGATGTGACTGGTATTTTTGTTACATACGATAAATATCTGCACAATATTCGGTTTACTAACATATTAACATCGTTATAACGTTTAACGCAATCAATTATTGTTGTGTATTTTTTAGTTCTTTGGCTTTTTCTCTTGTTCATGTCATCTATTTCCTCTCATAAGAAATGTATACACAATACATACAAAGACAGTATAAAAAATGGGTATGTTTTCTTATGTACGTGGGTGAGAAGTTATATTTCTTTGGCATCATTAAAAATATTTTTTTATTGCATGATAATAATTAATTACAATAAAATATTCAAAAGTCTGGAAAAGGATATAAATAATATAAAATTATGAATGCGCCATCTACATTCTTTATTGAGAACTGTAACGGGCGAATGTGATTGAGAATATGCTGCCATCCATAAAAATTAGCGGGCAGCTTCAAAGGTGTGACTATTGTGTTACAGTCATGCGCGCGCATCTAAACATTTAACTCTCTTCATTTTTTATAACGCGCCTAAATAAGTATAACTTCAAAATTAGTTAGTTACGTCCTATACATGTTTCTCTGTCGAAAGACCATCACTAAATTAAAGAGAATATTGGTTAATAAATTCGATGAACTTAAAAAACTATGGAAGTGACATGTCTATGATTGTATTTTTATTGTGAGTTGTGAAGAATAAATGAAGTAATCGAGGTATTAAGATTTAAAAGTTTGTTTTAACCGAAAATATCTATAACTAGGCCAGTGATTTTAGATAATTATCCTGACCCAAAGACAGCGGGTGGTTCGAAAGACATGTCTTCCTCTGTTCATGTCACTCTATATATTATGACAGTAATTTTGACATATCATTCAATATCATTTTACATTGAATTTCAATGTCCAAAATAGAAATGAAATTACAATATAACTGTAGTCGAATATGGAAATGTCTAAAAATGGTGCTCTCGAAATGGAAATCTGGTTCTATCTGAGATCGATAAGCATGAATGAGTTATTTTATATCTTTGACACAGACATTGGGGGTGTATGAACCAAACAACAAAGGCTACCTACTACAGTAGGTACCTTGTTGGAACTTGATCTTTCCACGAGCTTTATTATGCCTCAGAATATAACGAGAATGAAAGATAAATTAGAAATGGGACTCAAAATTCATACAATTACGTCCTGGGTAACAATACAAATGCCATCTTTAATGTAACATATTAGATCATTCCTAGTATAAGGACGAAAAAAGAAATAGGTAAAATTTCAGCAGCCCACTACTTTTATATAGCAAACAAAAGAAAAATTTAAACGACACATAACTATAGAGACATATCACTAAGTAATCAATAAAAAAAAATTGATAGTCATCTATACTTTTCGAGAAAAAAACGTAATTAACTCTTGTTATTTTCACTAAGAAAATCCGCCATTTTACTATTGTCAACATTTTCACATTAAAAACCTTCCGTAAAACACTGTCTTGTCCACAATTAAAACATTTAAATTTTTTTCAAGAATTCATGATAACACAAAAAATTAAAAAGTACTGAACGATTTGATCCCTATTTGAATAAACTTTTATTAAAAAATAAGACTACAATAATGTAGGTATATACATATTTGTTTATTACTTACCTACATTATTGTATTAGTCTTATTTTTTAATAATTTTTTTTTCTATCGGAATAAAATCGTTCAGCTCTTTTTAATTTTTTGTTTTATCATGAATTCTTATAAAAAAATTGAATGTTTTAAGTGTGGACAAGACAGTGTTTTACGGAAGGTTTTTAAATGTGAAAATGTTGACAATGGTAAAATGGTGGATTGTCTTAGTAGAAACAACAAAATTTTATTATGTTTTTTCTCGAAAACTAGAGGTGACTACCGAATTCTACTTGTTGATTAATTCGTAAGTGATAGATATGTCTCTATAGTTCTCTATCGTTTAAATTTTTCTTTTGTTTGCTATATAAAAGTAGTGGGCTGGTGAAATTTTACCTTTTTTTTATTTATTGGGAATGCACGGGTAAATTTCAAAAGATTACTACAAAAGGAGGTAACGCTAAAAGCATCCTAAATATAGTGAAATAAAAAGGCAAAAATAAAAAATCTATGGATTGTGTGTACGAATAATTATGTAAGTTCTTCAAGCAGTTAACAGGAATCAACTGGTTTTAACTTTTAAATTAACCGGCGACACAAATATTAATTGAAAATGTTAACAAAGAAAGAATAGGCGTCTCAAAATGAATTGAGTTAAATTGAAATATTAAGCGTACTGTTGATTTATGGATCGTCAATTTTGAATATACATATTTCCAAACGGGCTATTGTTGAAAAGTTAAATGAGTTTTTGGATTTGTTGAAACGTTTAATATTTCATTATTTAGAACCCTGCAATCGACTAAATATAAACAAAGTTATATTATTTACATTTTCAGGCATAGAAAAACCGTTAGATTTGGGTCAGTCAACACAATTCAACACAGTATTACAGTAAGAATTTTTTTAAACGTACCGTCTGCTATTTATCTCTCAGGCACCTTCATCATTACAGAATTAGCATTAGTAGGGGATGAATTGAAATTACTCATTTAAAAACCTGATATTTGTTTCTTTGTATTCTTCAAAATACTAGTTTACTCAATCCAAATATCAAGGATTAATGTTTCAATTATAAAAATTTTCACTACTGGCTACATACAAAACGTATTTTTTTATTTAACATAAAATCAAATGTACATAATTATTAATAAGACGCATTCGGCAACCAAATTTTCTCAAATATTTCCTTATATCTCTCCCACATTTAAAGCATAATAGAGTTGGAAAGCTATCTGAGCAGGAAACTCAAGTAAAACACCGTGAAAACAAAAACAAAGTCAAATATCATACGCTAAGTAATCATAGCGTATAATGAAAAGACCATGCAACATCAATTCAATGACTGGTTTCTAAAAAACGGAACGTTTCTAGAAAGTACCTTTAAATACAATCTAAATGATATATTATATGCAATAATTTAAATCATGTTATATTTGTCATAATCATGTTATATAATTATTTTTGATGTGCGTGGATTTAATCCACAAAGGTTTGATGACAATAACTTTTATTTTAACAGACATACATTTATTAACTTAGTCTTTGATTAAAATTGTTTAACAAAGTCATGTTACTTTGTGAAAGTGAAGGCACCTTCAAAATTTAAATTACAAATTTAATTTATCGTCGTATGCCATTACAGAAACTTCGCAAAATAAATAAATACTTTGCTCGAGAACAGAATAATTCGATGAAAATTCTGTAATTCGAATAAAGTACTTAATCCAAATTAAGATTTGTTGCATAATCTAATATGTTTTGTCATTATTGAAAGTTATAATTTCTTGTGACATTTTCATTTTCACGAGTTGAATAATAATCATTGTTTATGATTATAGTTGAATGTAGAAAATTACAATCGGTAATATTAGCTTTTGAAAAATGCAATAAAATATGCAAATAAATGAAATTAAATACGCAAAAATATTCAGATAAAATATATTCATTGTTTCTTATGAACTATTCCATTATATATTCTTAAAAAAATGATAAATATTTTATTAAATATATCATTTATTAATCATATACATTTTACATTATTAATAATACATATTTAATTAAAATTTTATTCATTTAAATTCGCTACGGGGTCGCACCCAGAGATTACCTAAATTAAAAAACTGTTCTCTACGACCAGACGTGCGCTATTTCAAGTGCTTGCCATTAGAGACGAGAAGTTCGTTCAGATCGAAAGAGAAAATGATGTCAACAAGGAATTAGAAGCGAGTGTTGAAAAGACACGTCTTAGGTACCAGTTGCGATTAACTGACGAGTATCCATTGTCTGTTCAGTGAGCATATGGCTGATTTAATTACACAGATTTAATGGCTACCTCAAAGTTGTGCTTTGGCTTTAAAACTAATTTGTATTACAG